GTTTGATGCATGTCTTCTGCAAGTTGTTCCAAATGAAGACAGTTGTTAACAAACTATAAACAGTTTAAGACACGCAATGAAAGTTAAAAAGTTTGGTGCACAGAGATTAATGAAGTGCATCAAGTTCAGGTATTTATAAAATTTAATTTTTTTAATTTCTTTTTGAGAAAATTTAATAATAAAGTCTGTTCTTTAACTATTTATTTAGAGTTCGTCCTAATAAACGTACACCTTTGCAACCGTTAGAAAACCTAACCAGTGTAACTGACTCTGATGCCTTTACAGCGCTGTTTCTTAAACCACTGACTGTTAAATGTAGTGAGCCGCTATCTCCACTTTGTTTTCCACCTTTAATTCTAATGCATATATCTACCCCTATTTCTTCTAAGCAACATGTTGATAAAAACCAATCAAAAATTTCACCTCCTAACATTTCAAATTCTTGTAAATCAATAAAAGGCAAAGTGTCAGAATCAGTGTCAGTTGGTCCAAAAAAAATACGAACAAATAATACTCATGCAGTGCTTAATGAGCTCAACGTACTTTGCAATGATGCAGGCATTGATTCAGACACAGTAAAAGCTGTTAGATATGGTCAAGCTGTCATTTTGCAAAAATTAGCTATATATCACAACGGCTGGACGGCTTGACTAACTCTTGCAAACTAATAGCAACACCATCATTTGAAAGTGTATACAGAAAAATTCCTTTATTTTGTACACCTGATGATCTTGCGAATGCAGACATTGTTTTAACTGAAGAAATATTTCAGTGGCTACTTCAAGAGGGTGGCCGTGATGCCACTGATCTTTGTGAGCGTTTGCTAAACCTTCTTTTATCGGTTGATTTGGCTAAACAAATTAATCATAGTAGGAAAAATGGAAAATTAAAATTTCCAGAAAAGTTGGAAAAATTTCTAAAGGACTGTATTTTGACTAAGTTTCCGAATGTAACTCGTAGTGTTATTGAGTTGCGCATCATACGATTTTTGCATAATGCTAAGGATAAGAATGGTGGCAGGACTGCTAGACAAAATCCTAAAGATACTACAAGTATAAGTATTTTTTATATATTGTTTTTACAATAGTTAATTTAAAACCATAATTAAAATATAAAACTATAAAGCCCCGGGCCTTAAGAAGTCTTAATCTGCAGTTGTCTCTGTTTTTATGTATGTATGTATGAATCCTTGGTAAAAGTTTTTACTATGTTTTTTTTATAAATTCTTAAAGGCATTTAAAGATATATAAAACCAATTTATTTAGAGGCTTTTGAATGTGATAGATCAAAATAAACAACCATGGGTAAAAAAGATGCTATGCAACCCTAATCAAAAATATTTTAAAAGTAAGTCATTTTTAGATAATTTATAGTATTAATATATATATATACTAGCTGTCATGACCAGTAAAATACGAGTCTTTAGGATATTGATGCACACTTTATCCGCGTGGTTACAGTTCATAAGAACTATTATCCGGTTTATAACGCAAGAAAATCTCAATCAAATGAAAACATCTAAATGATAACTTTTAATGTCCTAGATACGAAGATTAAACTTATTGATTGCGTAAACACTAACTTTAACATAAATGGCATTTGCGAGACACTTCTTGCAACGAAAAAACAAAATTTTGAAAATTTGTGAAACGATTTTTTTTCTCTCGTTAGCGAAGTTGGTTCTGTGTCAAAATGCGAGGATCAAACTTTTGATTAATATCTTTACATATGTTGTCTATATACAATATCAATAAAACTTTATAAGTATTTGAATTTGTATTTAAAAAAAATCTAAAAAAAATTAAAACAGTAGTCACCAACGGTAGGACTCGAACCTCGGCTGCTATGTTATGACAAATTTTGGACCAAGATTAAGTAGTTCAGTAGTTGCTTTATCAAGATTAATATTTGTCAAATTTAGTATAGCTGGTTTTAAAATTCGGTTAGGACGATTTTTAATCATAAGAGCATTTTTGCAAAGTATAGAAAAAAGAGCACTTGATATAGCCTTTGTTAATTCATTCCAACCAATAACTTATAAAAGATATGTGGATGATAGCCATGCTCGCTTCGATTCAAAAGAAAAGCAAGAATTATTTCTTAAAGCTTCAAATGAACAAAATCTCTCCATAAAATATACCGTTGAACTTGAAAACAAAAGAAAACAACTTAATTTTTTAGATATTTGTATTACAAATACAATGAATGGATTTTATGAGTTTCAAATACACCGTAAGGATGCGATAACAAATGTTCAAATAAAACCAAACTCCAACATCAACCCGAGCATAACCATTGGCGTCTTTAAAGGTTTTTTATGTCGAGCAAAACAAATCTGCTCTTAAAAATATCTCTCACAAAAAATTGATTTCCTCATAAATACATTTTTTGAAAACGGCTATAACAAAAATAATCTTATTAAAATAAACAAAAACTATTTAGACGGCATTTCAAAAAATACTACATCTAATCAGTTAGATCAAAAGTTTGTTAAACTACCTTGGATACCTATTATTGGCCCAAAACTCCGAAGAGAATTTAAAAAACAAAACATCAGAGTTATATTTACTTCAGCTCCTAGTTTAAGTAATATATTATGCAACAACAAAACTAAACTACCTCCGAACTCAAATCCGGGGGTTTACCAACTTAAATGCTCATGCGGAAATATATATATTGGTGAGACCAAAAAGAAAATCATTTCAAGAAGTGCAGAACACCAAAGAGCTTGCGAAAATCAAAAATAGTCAAGTTCAGGAGCCACGGAACATTCCAAAACATGCCGTGGTAACTTTGATTGGCTAAATCCTAAGACCTTGGCAGTCGTTCAAGAATACAAGATACGAAAAATTAGAGAATCTCTGGAGATTAACAAAGCGAAAGTTCGATATGAGATAGGTATTGGGGAAGGTATTCTAAATCGAGATGACGGGGATAAGGTTCAAACAAGAACTTGGGGACCCATTTTGACAAAAATTTAACTGACGTCATTATTATATTTAATTGGTTTTTATATTTGACGCTTTTTAATGTCTTCTTTTTAAACGGTTTGTTTTTATGTTTTTTTGTAACGTTTTTATTATTACCTGATGACGCTGACCACAATAGGTCAACGAAATATCGTTGATATATTTTTACATCAAAATATATTTAAAAATAGTTATACGCTGCCTTTTTTATTAAAATCAACTTACATAATATATATATATATATATATATATATATATATATATATATATATATATACAAAAATTATATTTATATAATTTTTATAGGGTCTGTTGATTGCATGAAGTTGAGCAATGCTAAGGATGCAAATGCTTTGTACAGTGCGAATCCTGATCCAAAATGCCAAAGTAACTTTTTATTTAATTAGTAATAGTATAAAAAGGTATAAAGTTGCTACTTGAAGTATATATTGTCTTGAGCTTTATAGGCTTCATTAATTCCACCATCAATAACAATTATTTCACCCTTAATAAAAATTTTATACTATTTTTTAGATGGTGCACAAATTACATGCACTTTTTAGATGGTTCACGAAATGAATTACAAAGACCAGTGCACAGAAAATATCGGATGTTTAGCCGATCCAATTTATTTGATGATTCGACAGATTTAGAATATTTTATTTAAGAAATATATTTAGTTTTGATTTATATTTGTGTTTTATATATATTTTAGTTTTTTGTTTGCAATGATGTCAGCAACCAAGCTCGTAACATCGGCTACACTCTTATGATTAAAACAATCTTGGCTCAACATTGGTTATATGTCTATTAGCCGACTAATAGGCTAACAGACATTCAACTGACGTTCAGCCATTTTGGTTTGGTTTTTTATTTTAATGATGCATTGTAATAAAAAACGGAATGTATTAGTTTTATTTAAAATACTAATTTTGATTTATCAACATTTTTTAATGCATAGGAAAGTTAATAATTTTGCTTGGTAAGATAATATTGTTTAACAATATCAGTTTATATTTATTAATAATTTGTTTATTATTAATTTTTATATATTTTTTCAGTTTAGTTTTCTCTGACATAAATGCCATTATGAATGTTTTGAAGCAATGTTTTACAACTGGATGCCTTTCCTGATGTTAACATGAAGCAGGTTGTACTGGATTACATGTTACCAGTAGCAGGATAACCTGACTTGACGTAAGGATAACCTGACCTGACTTTACAGTAATAATTTCTATTATGGTAATAATGTTATGTTATAATATTTTTGCGTGACTCTTTTTTTTTTAATTATTATAATGAAGGTGTTATACTGTTTTTATGTCAATATTATATATTTTATTCCTATTTTTTATTATTTTATATTATATTCATATTTTTATTGATAAATAACTTTTAGGGCTGTTGATTTTAGTGATGCATATCTTGATTCTAAAAGCCTGGGTAAGTTTATTATTATGTGTGCGTGTGTCTATTTATATATATATATATGTATATATATATATATTTATATATATATATATATATATATATATATATTATATATATATATATATATATATATATATATATATATATATATATATATATATATATATATATATATATATATATATATATATATATATATATATATAATAAAATATAATTTTAAATATAAAATTATATAATTTTTTAAGAGGCTGTTGGATGCAACGAATTTAACAATTCCAAAGATACAAATGATTTCGACGGTGCACATTCTGATTTAAAAAGTCTATACACTTCCAGTCTGGTCAGGCAGTCAATTTTCAGTCTATAAATTTGTATACACCACATCAAGTAAGACAATGTATTAACATACTGCTTATAACATCAATTTTACCTAAAATAAAGTTATTCCTTTTCTTATTGCAATTATTCATTCATATTAGTTATATTGCTCTAATTCATATGTGAAAATTTAGTTTTATACTTTTTTTTAAGATGCTGTACACAGTGAATTGTCAGTTAAAAAAAACGATGGAATTTTACCCGATCCAATTTATTTGATGTTTCAACTGATTCAGAAAAATTTATTTAAAAGAAATATATAACTTTATATTATTGTTTAATATATACCTAATATATGGACTTATAAGGATTGAGCAACTATCCTTTTTTTCCGAATTAAATTTGTGTGATAGGATTTGCATCGGCTAGAAAATCTTAACACACAAAGTTAAATTTGTAACTTATTTTAATCATCGGGCCTAGCTTGGCTGCCGACATTGGATCGGCATCTTTTATGTACATACGGAATCGCGTCGGGCCGAGATCGGCCAGCCGATGCATCGCGCTAGTTTGAGCGGCTAGCCGACGTTGGACCGACCTCGATCCGTACGGACAAAAACTCCATTGGTCCGATATCGGGAGCCGAGCTCGGCCCGACATTGGCTTTAACACAGGGTCTTCTCAGATTTTTTTTCTTTTAGTTCAATAGCTTATTACTAAAACCAAGACTACTACATATTTAGGATGTGATAAAATTTCTACTTGGATAAAAACATAAATACATTTTTCTTTCCGTAAAGATTGCATCTACATTAAAACCATTTTGTACCTTCACCGGCGAGCCTTTGAAGATACGCTTGTGGTCCGACAATGGTTAGCCAGTTCTGGGGCGCCAGCTAATGCACTTGAATGGATCACACGTTATTTTCTCGGACCTGGCTCGCCAGCTCTGGCCCATTAATTGATTAGGTATTTATTTGATTTTAGAACTGATGGGCCAGTATGCCCCCATTATCTGTTGTTCTGCTTCGGCAATTCTTTGTTGGATCAATAATGGTTTTTTTGCGGTTACCGAGCTCCGGCAATTTTATCAAAGTTAAGGTTCCCAGAACTGGCAATACAAGAACTTAACTTTATTGGGCCTTTCGCTGAATTCGCTGGCATTGTATTCGCTGGCATTGTATTCGCTGGCATTGGCTAGCCATATTCGGACTAGTATATACTTGCTGTCTGGATGCTTAACAAAAAACATTGTATACCAAGCCAATATAAGTTCCATAATTCTACTAACACTCCTGTCAACGAATTCTACATCGGTATAAATAAAGCACCATTTAAAATTAGGTATGCCAACCGTATAAAATCATTTAACATTCTAAAATACAAAAATGACACCGAATCATCAAAATAATTTTGGAAATTAAAAGATGCCAAATTAAACCTAATTGTTAAATGGAAAATAATTAAGCAGTGCAATGCTTACAAGCCAACCACAAAATCCTTCCAACTATGAATCTCAAACGAAAAATATGAAATTCTATTTTACAAAAATAAAAATCTGGTAAACAAAAATATCAAAATGATGTCCAAGTGCAGGCATCGAAACAAGTTTCTTCTAACCCTATTCAACACGGGTGATTGAGCAATTTCCTAATTAAGAAATTGTTTCTTTTGACATCAGAACTCATTTGTTATGGTTTTTTCTTTTAATTTACGTGTTTTGTAATTTTTAACGGTTTTTTCTTAATTTAAAGAATAAAATATGGCTAACGATTGCCAAAGGGCATGAAACTTTAAGTTTTATCACAATATTGTATTTTTTCAAATAATTAAACTCTTTATATATATACATATATATATATATATATATATATATATATACACATATATATATATATATATATATATATATATATATATATATATATATATATATATATATATATATATATATATATATATGTGTGTATATATATATATATATATATATATATATATATATATATATATATATATATATATATATGTATATGTGCGTATATATATATATATATATATGTGTGTGTATATATATATATATGTATATATATATATATATATATATATATATATATATATATATATATATATATATATATATATATATATATATATATATATACATAAATATATATATATATATATACATATATATATGCATTTGTGCGTATATGTATTTTTATATATATAATATATATATATATATATATATATATATATATATATATATATATATATATATATATATATATATATATATATATATATATGTATATATATGCATATATATATATATATATAAATATTTTGGTATTTAAAAATTATGACAATAAAAAGTTTGAATTCCCCTTTTATTTTGAGGTGGTTGCAAATTGTATTGTAATTGTAAGGCCTTAATTGTTTAGAACGCTAAGAGATTACTGTGTGAGTTTTAAAATTTATCGATGAATATAAAAAAAGTATTTTATCAACTAAATAGAGAATTAGTTAAAAAAAATGTATTTTATCAACTTGTTTCTCTCACGTTTGGGGCAGGTGTAGTGAAATATATTGGGCTTATTTGTTCCCAGTCTTCAACCATCGTAAATTTTTGTAAAGCATCCTTATTTGATATTAATATAAACATAAGTTTTTGAAATTAGTGTTTAATATTTATTTTAAGATGTTATTCTCTCCAAACTCATGAAAAATAAAACTTTCAATGAAATTATGACTAAAAGCAACAAAACCAGGAAACAAACATTAAAATACTATTTAGAATTTGTATTAAAAAATATTTTATATATGAGGACAAATAGTCCTCTCTAGTATCCATTTGAGATTATAAATATAGGACCACTACGAGCTCATTTGGGTTAAGATGAAATTATGACACCATACACCCAAATGAATAGATGTCAAATAAAGACTTTTGACTTCTTACTTTACAGATAATGTAAATATGCTAAGAGCAGGCATTGAACCAATGATCTATTGCTTTTAATATAACCACTACACATATAAAGGCACCCACGTGTATCTAATAAGAGATAGGGATAGCAAATTTAGGGAGCTTTTTTTAAATTGTAAAGGTCCTTACACGAAATTTGTGGAACTAATACATTATAATAAAATGTTTTTAAAATTATGGTGTTTTAATGAGAGGTTTTGAAAATGCATTTTTATAATTCCAGTGGTACCTATGAAAAATAAACGAGCTTTAAGAAAGTCAACCAGTTTTACTCTTGATTATGCGCTGGTCCCAATATACAATTTTGTCCAATATCCAAAATAAGCTGGTCCCAATATACAATTTCCCAATATTACACTTCATTATGCGCTGGTCCCATATACAACTTCATTGTTATCAGAGGTTCTATAAAAAATCCTAATATTTAAATAATATCATTATTAGAGGTTTAATAAAAAAGAATCTTAGTTGCTTGTTTACAATTGTAACAAAAGTAAAACAAACAAAAAAATAAGACTGCAAAATAAACTTTTTTATTTATTACAATAACAATGGATTTCTCAACTAACTGATCAAAATTTTATGCCATTTAATGTTTTTAAAAAGATTTCTGGCTATGAAAATAGCCGTATTTATACAAAATCATGTATTTGTTTTCAGCAGTACAAGAAGACATAAGAGTTTTTTTTTATTAAATCACTTGATAAGTCAACTTTTTTTATCAACAAATTTTTCAGAGTAAGTCCATTTTCTACGTGGTATAAGTGTCATACTCTCCTTCATTGACATTTTGTTTGATATATTAAGATTCAGACAGTTACCTGCAATTGGGGGAAATATATGTTGATTTCGAATATTATTATCATTGAATCCACGAATAGCATTATCATTGATTCAAAATACCTTTTACGAATACTATTATCATTGAATCAAAATCAAACAAGGAAAGATTATCTTTCCTTCTACAAATTGACCGTTGTTGTCCGAAGTAATTTTCTAAAGGATCCTGACAAAACCTTTCAGTTAATAAATAAGTTACATTTTTATTAATGAAAAAATTGACAAGTTCAATAACGGAATTAACTGTAATCTTTACACCTTCATGGGTTTGCCAAGTAATAAACGTATTATTTTATAACTTTTTAAAAAAATTCCAGGTCTTGACTTAATAGAAAAAAGCCAATCAGTTAGGTGTTTTAGGAAATTTTCTTTTAACCATGTAAATCGAATATTAGTATCGAATATTAATATTAGTATTATAATGGTTTCAAAAATGAGTTGCAATTTAATATGTAATCATTTGTATTACGAACATTTAAGCAATCAAAAAAATCATTAAAATTATTTGCAAAACTGTGCAGTTCTAGCAGAATTAGACGCTGCAAAATTTTCTAATGCAGTACTACATGATTAACTTAAAACTTGTGCAGCTAAACGAACATTCATAGCTAAAAATGGAGTTATTTTGATGTGCTTAACGGTTAGCTTTGGACACGCATCTTCATAAAACTTTGGACATGCAATCTTCATAAAACAAATAAGTTATATGAGACCATAAAATATGTGGACCCTGATTCCACATATAACGATTGCTTTTACCAACTCAAGAATGAGAAAAGCTGTTCCTTGCTGTTTTAATTAAATGAGGGACATCAGATATAAAATATATAAACCGTCATTATCAGCAAATAAATTATAAATGCAGTAAGTCATATCAACATGACCATTATTATCTTCTTTCTCAGTCAGATTAAAATATCTTTAAAAATTTTCTATTCAATGATGCTCCGTCACAAGTAACTGCTACTACTTTTAAACTAACTGAGATTTCTAAAATGCCTACAGCTTTCCGAAATAGAGAAAATAATTGCACTGATGTATTATTTATAGTGGCAAAATTTGCAAAACTGTATTTTAAAGAACTTACAATACTTTTTAATAAAAAAACTAATAAATGAGAAGCAAGTTTGTCAGCCTGTTGTAATGTTGCAAAATTAATAACAGGATCACCCAAATCAATATAACCAATTAATTCTCCAGGGTGTTTGCCCCAAACTAGGACAGAATAGAACTTTTCTTGAGCTGAAAATGTTTAACTTTAACATTCAATTCTTCAGTTAAAATTTTATTAAATCCTAATTTTGGCTTCACATAACTTTTATAGTCACGCAATCGTCTACAACTTGGTAAAACTAAAATACCAGAATTATTTTTTTCATTTAACCGTTCTGCTTCATAAGCAGCTGGTGATTATTCAGCTAATCCTAAACAGAAACGTATTATTGCTGGATGATAGCGAATCCTTTGCTTTGAGCTTTTTAATATTTTTGCTGTTCTTCCTAAA